TTTCCCTACGTGGTCGAGTCGACGTGGATTCACTTCCGGTCAGCAGAATTAAGTAGTTTCATTTAGTTATTTTAGCTTCAGTTCTATACCGCACATATTGATTCTGTATTGTAGACATTCAACAATTAACTTTGATAATTTACAAACTTTTCATAAAATACTATACAAAACGTGTGTTTACATTCATACACTCAAAATGTATTAAGACAATGTATATTTTATATCCTAATGGTGTTCGTACTATGTGAATTTAAAAAATATTTTTGGGGAGAAACAAGCATGTATATTCAACTTAAGAAATAACTGGTGCACACAAACAAACGGAAGGCCGGTTGTAAAATCGACCCCACGCCCTTTCTGTCTCGAGCGCGTTAGGTAACGTGGCAACCATGATGAAACACGCCCGGGAACTCGAGACTCGTCTATTGACCACGTAATATAGACCGTCTTATTGCTAAAGCCCAAAAACTTAAAACGTTTCAGTCGTCGCTGCGCGGCGCGTTGTGTTTGGTGTGCCATGTGAGTGTATTTTTGTCTACACGAAATTAGACTGCGTTGCCTGCTGACTGTGGCGCTTTGATCTGAACTTCACTCACCTGGACCCATTCATCTCGTATCTCCTTTTCATCGAATGCATTGGTTGGCTCTGTAAACTCGTATATAAGGGCGTCCGTTGCTTCGTCGACGTTACCAGCGTAGCCATACTGGTTCTGGGCAATCTCACGTACTTCTGCGTCGAAATCCACTTTCGTCATGGTAGTAGGAACTTAGACAAATGGAAATGACATGTGAAAATAACTAATATATCGCCTCTCAAATCTACTTTCATCCGACTCGAGATAAGTTTTTAGAGTTGAACTATATTTTGACGGGGTGGCTACGTTGCATTTCTGATTACATTGAGTTCGTGTAATTTGTAATGAGTCATTTGACTTATGTACTTGCCTTTTTGTGTGAAGACACGATGTGGTACCCACATTTTTATTCTCAGTGACGTCATATTATGATCACACGCATGTGTCCGATTAAACTCCAACAATTATAAAAAAACAGGTGAGTTGCTGATATGTGTATGATGTTCTGTGAAAAATATTCGTTATGCCTGTGAGGGCGTAATATGAAGGTTAGCTCACCATAAGCGAACTCACTTCCCGTAGAACCAATAATCATCGGTACTTGCGAAAATTCCCCTCTCCAAAGCAAATCGGTGGGGTCTTCAAGTATCAACACTCCATCGATGTTTGGTGTCCATAAACACCAATCGTCATATGCCTACATATAGAACATATATAGCATGATATTGGAGGAGGGTAGTAGTAGAAGACCATATACTCAGGCCTTATATCACCGTTATTGCAGTGAACCGTCGTATAACACAGTATTTTTTGAGAAAATGGAGAGGAACGTGTATTCAAGGAGCTATGGGTCGGCTCCAGTTTCGTCGCATTTTGGCGAATTCGAATGTTTTGTATCTCAACCGTTCAAACGCAATATATATAATAATAATTTTTTACTACAGTATTTTGTCAAATGAGTAACATCCTCAACAGCACACAAAACCGGGATAGTGTCAAACGAACGAGATAATCAGGTCTGATCGAATAATTTGCTAACATTCGACAACATGAATGTCACGAAAAAAAATATGTATCTGGTGAAAGCAGGTTTATTCTAAGTTAGAAAAATTCTCTAGGTCCAAGGTCAATTGAATTTGAGTGCAAGAATATGTAACCTAGAGATAGTCGCTTATAACTGTGAGCGGTTGCCAACTTTCAAAACTTGTTTCAAAACTAGTTTCGAAATTGGTCTGACTTACAAACCAATTATGATTTAAATTCATGATGTTCATCTTATTACTGAGAGTTTATAGGTAATATAACACTCACAGTGGCGGTTCCATCGACTATTTCGGTCCACGGTTTGGATCTCAAGCAGTCGACGATAATCTGCGATGTCGTCGTTGGGCAGCCTAAACTTTCCGCAAATTCATGAGTGATGTTTAAGGGATCAAAGGGCGGTCGATGGATTGCCCATGAAGCCATTGCGTTTCCACTCTGCGAAAGAACCCCGTGAAACAAACCTAAAATAAAATAATAAGAAATTGAATTTAATTGTCGTTTTATGAAATACATTATAACCCATTTCTCTATCATAACCGTCGGTATTTAAACGAGAGAAGGATTTTTCGCAAAGAGGGGGAGATTTTCAATTTCAAATTTTATACCACTTAAGATCTGGACTGTAATTTTCCTTCATTTAGTGTAAATAGTTATACTGCACAGCGTATACCTACCTGCAGCTGACGGTGCAAACATCAACAGTGTAGCACTGACTCCACCTGAGCTTTGACCACCTAAAGTAACTCGAGTCGGATCACCTCCAAAATTTGCGATATTATTCTGAATCCACTGTAATGCCATCACATTGTCCAATAAACCCCAATTTCCTGTTGCCACTGAGTCCCTAGTTGTTAAAAATCCTACAGGAGAAAAAAATAATGTATACATAGCTAAACTAAACTAATAAAACTGATTCAAAAACTAAACTACATTATTACCTGGCTTCACGTTCACGCAAATGTAATGCATTGTTTATAATAGGAACATCCAGGATAATTTGCTTCCCAAAATAGCAACAGTTCGGTTGGATTTTTTCCCGGTTATGTGTGTGATTTTTGGGGAGTGAAACGCTTGTATTGTAAATGTTGGCGTGTGTGCCATCGGCCAAGGAGATAATATGCACATTTCCAGAAACAACCGTATATTGTAATGAGTAATATGTATTGAGTACTTTTGAAATCCATGTACATTTTTCCTAAGACATTTAACATTTTATTGGACAAATGTAATGCAATAACCCATTATTATAGAACTCAGTTACAAAAGATTAGTGTAACTAATTCAAATTAAATTTTCCAAGCTTTATTTTATCATTTATCAACAGCACAGTCTCACATGGTAAAAGGTCAATTATTGACCGGCTTTAACGCGCTGTTATCACAGAAATTGACCCCATTAAAGAATTGGAATTATTATTTTGACGAGATATTCAGTATTATCACTCTGTTGGCATTTCACCTATTCAACCAATACCGACATATAACGAGAACGGTTTGAGACAACTCTGACGGACAGTGTCTGGAAGATTCAGTAGAGATAGCGTCACCTTAAAGATAGATGACGTCCATGATGGCGGCCACTCTTCGATATACTTAGAATAACTGGATTCCATCTTACGGTGGGTGTGATGAGTACACTGAATGTGCATTTTATTTGGTAAACTTATTTCATCTTGATATTTAAAAACCAAAAATTAAAGTACGGTCAATGGCACTCACCAAATGATCCAAGGCGATAACTAACAGCAACAACTATCATATCTTGCTGCGCAATGATGCCTGCATCGACGTCTGCTTGACCACCCATCCAACAACCTCCGTGTATCCACACTAGTACGGGTAGCGGGTCAGTAGCCACATTCTCGTGCTGAAAAAAAAATGTCATATTATATATTCAGTAAATATTTAATTGCTAACAGAATGATTAAATTCACATTCTAGAATAACACAGAATGAATTAACGAATGAATAAATTATAACAACCTTCTGTGGCGAAAACAGATAATGCTTTTGTTCAAGAAAATATAATTATGTGATATGTTCCCACTCACCAACAGTTTTGCCATACAGATGTTTGAGTTTATACTTTGCTCAACGATAAAGATAAACATGCTCTTAATTATAAAATGCAATTATTAAAAGTGCCAAATGATCGTCGAGTCGCTTCGTGTTCGATAAAGCGGGCGCATGCAACGCGTGTGAAATGCAAATATTCGACAACGCGCATATTATGTCTCTGGAAATGGAAAGAAAAAATACGGATTGAACTAATCTGCGTTGTATGCCGAAATTCGTGTGATAAAAAATAATGACATGACAATAGAACATACCAGGCAATGTGTCAATTGAGAACGACGCAGACAAAATAAACAACACAACGCCCAAATAATATATTAAAGTGCTTACATAAGGCACAAATATGTTAAGGTAGAGACAATCTTCGCCGTACTGTAATTGATTGCCCGGTGGCTGTGCGCACCCTTTCCTATAATTAATCGTATCTAAAGGAGTCAACCATGGTTCGGGTAACTTGGGCGCAGCATAACGGAGGTCGCCGATCGGAGGGAGCTGCAAAAGGTACTCCCATGAATGTGTCCAGCAGCTGACCATCGTTTTGGACGTTCCTCAACCCGCGGATCTGTCCATGGGTTGTGTCTCTGATGATATATGTGGAGTTGATGTAACTCGTTGCATATCCCAGTACACCAGTGTAGGGCAGTAAAACTACCAGTGATATGATATAGACTATATTGTCCATGTTTACTTCGAGAATGCGACAGTTGTCCGAATCTCATCATAAATACTAATACCTGATCTATGGGCTGGACGAAACCATTTTGTGTAGGTATTTTTGTGAACACGGATGTAGTTTAATGTAATATTGTTCTTGCATTCATCGATTTCCGGAAAATTTAATAACCGTTAAACTAATTTGTAATCACTATGTGTTACTGGTATGTAAAATATGTAGGGGAAATATTGCAAATGTATTTAATCTTCCGCTTTTACTCCTCGTTCATCCCTTTCGCAAACTGG